AATTATGGACCTTTAATGTTATAGTGTCTGACAGCTTAGGAAAAGGCCAGGCTTGCTCTTTCTGTCAAGGTCTATTGCTGACATCATTTATTTACCAAAAAAAAAAAAAAAAAACGGATTTTTTTCCACCCCCAGAAAAAAAATGGATACTTCAGTCAGGCCTATATGGAATGATATGTTAGATTTGGGCTAAGTGCTGCTTCTGCTTTTACTTCAGAAGGATTGGCCCTTCGTGAGGTTTATGACATATTTTATGCAATCATTGAAGATGCACTAGCCATGCAAAATGTGCTGTTTGATGTGCATCATAGCCAGTTATGGGCAAAGATGGGGTTCCCCAGGGCAATATACAAGTCACAGGAAATACTGCGCTGGGATCTTAACTATTCCCAGAGATGCACACCTGCTCCTTGTTCCAAAATGAAACAGGAGGTTGGAAGGCAAATAAATAAATGCACTTGTACTTCAGACAAACTGCAGAGAGAAACTCAGGCATAAAGAGAGGGCAGAACTGAATGTGTTGAGCTGGACAATATGCCAGATCTTGAATGTTAGGTAAGTTTACTGCTGCATTTAAACAACAGGAAGAAGAAAGAAACTTACTTCTTTTTTTTTTTCAACACATGGATTCCTAAAAATTCATGTTATGGCAGAATCAAATTCACAGTGAAGCAGCTGAATGGCAGGTTTAACATTTGGTTCTTTAGGGAAAGGGGGCGGAGAAAAATAGGCAAGGCTGTGGAAGCGTTAAGTAAATAGTGACAACTCACCTGATAATGGTATTTGAATAGCTGCTGCCAAACTTAATACAAAAAAAAGCAGGCATATGGTGATCCCTTTTGTGCTGAATAGCGTCTCCATCACTTCTGTAAACAGCCAGTCCAAACAGAATGAAAGACGCCTTATGTTTCCTCTCACCTTCAGTTCAGATCAGGCACGAGAAAGTGAACCTGGAAGTCTAGCAAAGGGGAAAACCAACCATATTAGCTCACAATATTAACTCTGCTTTAATAAGGTTAGTAAATTAATGCAGCCCTCACAGGTTTGCAGCTAAAGTGCAAATTGCATTGAAAGGTAAATTTTCCTCCTGTGGAAGGTAGTAGAATAAATTTATAGCAAAAAAAGAAGTTATACGGAAATCAATTATTCCTCAGAAATCTAATTACTTTTTGCTTTGCATTAAGAGCAGGGTAGGCTTGAAATATGGTATATTTGTAATCATTCCAGTTCATAAATTTTTCTAATTGAGAGTACTGCTACTTGGAAAGCAACGTAACTGATCTAATGAGAGAGAGAGTCTCTACATTAATGACCCTATTCATAAATCTCACAAGTTCTTTATCTTTCATTTATGCTTAAAACAGGGCATTTAAACCAATTTAGTTTATTAATAAGGGCCAGAATATGAAACCATTGCTTTTTCTTCCATAATCCCAGTACTGCTATATATGAGTTTTACATCCCCCATTATGCATCCTAAGGCTATGTATTACAAGACATAGGTGTCAGTAATCTGCGAAAAAGGAGAAATTTTCAGCTCTAATGAGCATTTAACTGCTACTCAGAGGAGCAAAAAGGAGAGGCCATTCTAAACACGCAGGTATACAAAAGAATCTGGTCGTCAGCAGCACTTGCAGCATCTCAATTAAATATTAAACAACATAAGAAACAGTCACTTTCTCTCTGTGCATCTCTCTGCCTTCCCTTGCTGCTTATAGGGCATCCATCTCCACAATACCTAGACATCAGTCGTCACGGCTGCCTGCTAACAACAGTTTTCAGACACCCTAAAGAACAGGGTGCCAGTGCAGAGCTGGCAGCACGGGAGCTAAAAGCAGCCAACTGCCAAATGATGGAAGATGAAGCAGCCTTTCTTTCCTGCACAGGTTTCCTTTATTTTGACTGGGCGGGGGAGCGAAGGGAGGCAGTGCTATATAGGCAACTGTGATCTTCAGGACTGAGCTTTCTAGAGGGAGTCCAAGCAATGCACTGCTATGCTCTTTTCTTGTTCTGCACAGGCAGCTGGAAATGGAAACGGTGGGTACATCTACATGAGATACTAGCTCCGCAACAGCCTACTAATAGCGTGCAGCAGCATCACTAAAAAGGTGTGCACCAGTGCTACTGCGCGGTAATGCTCGTTACTGTGCACTGATTTTGTACTTGATTATACAAGTACTAAACATAATGCGCCGTAACTACAGCGCATTAATGAATGTGTAGATGCGCCCAGAATGCAGTGGGCAGTACAGACGTTGAAAAAGTCCACGGGAGAATTGCTGTAAGTCACACAGTTTCTGTAAGCACTGCAGCTGGTAGTGAACAGAACACACATTTGCCCTTTGGTGGGCAATTCAAATCTGAGACTGGGTTCTGCCATTTTTAAACCAGTTTATGTACACCAAATGTCTGTTCCGTTATGGGTAAAGACCGATTTCGGATCACTTATACCAATAAACGTGTAATGTCTGTACCTGGCCCAGATGTCTGACGCTGGGTGCAGAGTGGACACTGAACACCACAGGGTACGTCTTTATTGAGAAGCTGACTAATTAGCTCTGCTGTAAAGTGTCACAGTCTATATAAGTGCCCGTATCAGGGTGCAGTAAATTAATTAACTCTGCTGTAGGATAGGACTGTCCACAGCAAGTACTATCCTATGGTGGAGCAATTTATGCTGCCGAAATGCACATGTAGATGGTAACCAGGGCTGGTTGAGGCACGAGCGTGCTACAGTGCAGGGGCTGCCTACTGGCTAGGTCAATACTTTAGCACCCTCGTGCCCCAGCCAGCACCTCTGATGCCCGATGCTGCCATGCTGAGCCAGGGGCTGAACCTCTGAGCCCCTTGCCAGCCCAGGGCTGCTCCAACCTAGCTCAGATTGCTACAGTCATTGGTTCATGTGTAAACATTGTGCCTGGGAACAGCTGACTGAAGTGAACTACACAGGAGTTTATTGCACCAGGGTAATTGCAGGTGTAGATGCACCGGCAGTGTAGCTGGCTTAGGTTGTCTGTGTTAACTCTCTGCTGCTCATGACTCTGTCACTGTCTGCTCAACTCCTGCTCTATGTACTCCAAGCTTGGAAGGGCAAAGGAGAGGATGGTGAGTATGCTCGCGGTGAGAGCAGCGGTGTGGGCCACTTCTGCTTAGGCTGTCTGCTTTATCCCTGGGTTTGGAATATGCAGAGGGCAAAGGAGTGGGCAGATCTTCTCTATCAATGGCAGGCTCATGAGAAAGCCCCCCACAAAGTTTCAGATCAAAAGAAACCTCTAATTCAACCCCAAATGGAAAGCTTCATATTTCATGGTGAGCTTTTTCTCGAAGTTTTGCTGCTTTAAACAAAATTTAAATACATTACAATGAAATATTTCAATTAAGGAAGGAAAGTTACCCACAGAAAATGAGTCACTGAAGCTGACAGGAGTTTGCTGATTCTTTTGGTCAACCCCCATCTGCACTTTTTGCCAAAGGCATTTCATCCAGGTGTGTTTTGCAAGTAATACAGTTCTTCTAAATCAGGCTGATAAATCTTTAATAGCACAGTACACCATTCTAGAAACTGCCATATATATCCTCAGCCACATGATTATTCCCATAGCCAACAGCAACTAGATGGCTATGTAGCACTTATTATGCAAGAAGAATAGCATTCATGCTCATCTTTTTACTTTGTGCTTATGGACAATATGGGGGGTTTTTTTAAATAGCAGTAATATTTAAAGCATTGCATTTCTTGTGAGCAACTTCCTTGGTCAGCATCTGTGGTGTCTGCTCACAAATGCCTGGCTGGGGTAGTGGCTACCAGGTGGTATGCCAATGGAAAGAAAGCCCCACTTTTGCCCACAGTGGTCTAGGGATCCATATCGAGTCTTGTTAAAATCTGGGAGGCTATTTCAAGGTATGAGA